ATTGACTGTATATAATAAAAATTCTTAAAAAACGCGCAAATTTCAGCATTATTAAATGCCATAACTTTTTTATTTTTAAAGATATTTAGAAAAGGAAAACTGTTCTGAAATGCTTATAATGAGCACTATAAGATGAAATAAATTGTTTATAAATACAATAAAATAAAAAAATTGGTGTGGGGTTGCTATTTTTAGTAAATTAATAAAGTATGTCAAGAAGACATTTAACTTTATCAATAGGTTTAATATGGTATTGTATATCGGCAATCGGTGAAAAAGAGCTCTTGAAATATTATTTGTACAAATACTGAATAATTTGAAGTGTATTTCAAATAGTTTCCTTCAATATTTCTTTTACGTTCTTAATTGTCATATAAATATGCATGTATAAATGAAGTCAGTATTTTATCCGAGAGTGACATTTGGCAGTCATTAGCACTAAACAAGAAGGCAAACCACCAATTGATAAATGTTGAGTACATGTATTAAAATATTTAAAAAATATTAAACAACAGTACTTGTACGGAGCCTATTTGCGACCATTGCATTTTAGGTTAAATACAATGATACTTTTCAATAGTATTTAATAATGCACACATTTATTAAAAAATAATGAATAGATTTATTTCCCCCGATATTTTGTTTAATTTAATCTTCATGCGTAACCCACACTTACCTGCTAGACACACTGGTAGCTACTACCAGCTTTCACGGAATCGATTTTTTACGATGACGTCATAACATGTCCGCCGAAAATAGAGTAGACAGTACAAATTTGAAATAAATCGCATGTATGCGTTAAGACAGGTACAATCTAATATTTTTTATAGGAGAAGTTAGTACTAAAATTTATATTCTATTGATCTTTAGAGGTAATTGAAGTTACTTTCAGGTTTAAGCAGTAAAAATCAGTCAAAACTATCGAAAGTGTTGCCGGTAGATTTTCCGTGCGTAAAAATGACAGTTAAAATTAGGCGTAACGGTTTGACAGTAAGAAAAAAAAAGTCTGTAAAATGGGTCAAACCGTTCACGCCGAATTAATTAGGCTACCTGTTGGAAAACTTATGAGACATTTTTAAAAGTTATGAGACATTGTTCAAAACTAATGAGACATGTTTTTCTTAATGATAATCGATTATAAAGTACGGATACTGGTCGGAGACCATCAACCAGACACTTTTGGAATATTTTTCTGTACAGATTTCATAATTTTTAACCTAGAGACCAAAAAAAATTGACACAGTTCAGCTAGGTTCTTCTCCTAATTAATTAACTAGTTTGTTTATTTCTGATTGTATTGACACTTATATCTGAGGCTTGACAAGGAGGTAGGTAAGTTAATTTCACCAACATTTGCAGACTTGATAATTTGGTCCTATTTGAATGAACATCATGGTTTAATACATAATATTTGTTGTTGTTATTTTTTGGTGTCAAGCAGTTTGTTTATTTGCTGAAGATCAATAAGATAAAAAGAATCATAATTAAAATGAATCCAACATTTTATAAGTACCTTTCCATAACACATCAAGTAATATATGACGTAATGTGTAATGTCCATTGTTTTATTTGCACTGAATGGCTCCTAAGTAGCATTCATTGTTGTCTTCGTTTTTTTGACAAAAAAAAATTATTTCCTTAAAAGATATTCTGTTAAAAACTTCTGACTAATTTAAATGCTTGCATTTGAATAAGTCAATCAGATTTCGCACAGTCTGTATGGCGGCCATTTTTTTATCAGCTATTTAAGGAATTTAATTAAATGAGAGGATTTAATCACGATTTTTCGGATGTGACAGTTTAATTATTTTGTTAAAAGGTATTTATTTTTAGCTAGACTATTTGATAAGAATAAGTAGAGCTATTGTAGTCACCCGAGCGTCGGCATTGGCGTAACCACTTTTGTTAAAGTTTTTGTAATACCTCAAATATTTTCAAAGTCCATTGACATATGGCTTTAAAACTTTGCACACTTGTTCCCCATCATGACCCCAACCTGTAGACAGGAGGAGGTAACTGTATCAAGCATTTTGACAGAATTATGCCTCTTTTTCGACTTAGAATTTACATTAAAGTTTAGTTACACCTCAAATATTTTCAAAGTCCATTGACATATGGCTTTGAAGCTTTGCACACTTGTTCACCATCATGACCCAAACTTGTAAACTGGAGCAGGTAACTGTATCAAGCATTTTGACAGAATTATGCTTCTTTTTTGACTTAGAATTTGCATTAAAGTTTTTGTAACACCTCAAATATTTTCAAAGTCCATGGACATATGGCTTTGAAACTTTGCACACTTGTTAACCATCATGATCCTAAACTGTAGACAGGAGGAGGTAACTGTATCAAGCATTTTGACAGAATTATGCCCCTTTTTGACTTAGATTTACATTAAAGTTTTGTAACACATCAAATATTTTCAAAGTCCATGGACATGATATGGCTTTGAAACTTTGCACACTTGTAAACCATCATGACCCCAATTGGTAGACAGAAGTAGGTAGCTCTATGAAGCATTTTGACAGAAAAATGTGCCTTTTTCAACTTAGAATTTACATTTAGGTTTGCATTCTACCTCAGATATTTTCATCTTTATTGACAACTGGATTTGAAACAAGTTCTTTGAGAACGTAATAGGACTCTCTCCAAGGCCTATAACTAACATGGATTTAAAGAAAAATTTTGCCCTTTTGTTAACTCAGAAAATTTTACATTATCAAGGCTCTTTTATTATCAAGTGCTAAGAATAGTCAAGTGTTGCTGTCCTATCAACAGGTCTTGTTGTATATTTTGACCTCTTTTTGGTAACTTACATGGGTTGTAAATGCTATTGATGATGTGTAAATTGCATTCTTTTCAAATTTGGTAGCTTTACAATATTATACTTTTTAATTCATTTTTAAATTTTTATGAAAATTAGCATGAATCTGGAGGCATGCTGCTTTAAACTCTAAACACTACAGGTTGTCACAATATGAACATATAGTGTCATTAAAAAACTTTCTTTTTGTGTCGCCTCTACGGAGTAGTGGCGACATATAGGGATCACTTCTCCGTCGTCTGTCCGTCCGTCACAAAACTTGTCCAGACTACTCCTCATAAACTACTGGTGCAATTTCATCCAAACTTTATAGGAATGATCAGTACCAAGTCTAGTTGTGCATATTGTCAGCATTTTCCGGTTCAATGATTTTTGTCAGAGTTATGGCCCTTTAATAATTTTTATTTTTAAAGTTTGTCCGGACTACTTCTCTTATACCACTAATGCAATTTCAATGAAACTTTACAGGATTGATCTGTAGCTCAAGTCCTTGCGCATATTGCACGGGTTTTCCGGTTGAATGATTTTTGGCCGAGTTATGGCCCTTTGATAAAAAGGTGTTTTTTTCTGTGTGTTGCCAGATACACAAAAGTTTGTCCGGACTACTCCTCAAAAACTACTGGTGCAATTTCATCCAAACTTTACAGGAATGATCAGTACCAAGTCTAGTTGTGCATATTGTCAGTATTTTCCGGTTCAATGATTTTTGTCAGAGTTATGGCCCTTTAATAATTTTTATTTTTAAAGTTTGTCCGGACTACTTCTCTTATACCACTAATGCAATTTCAATGAAACTTTACAGGATTGATCTGTAGCTCAAGTCCTTGGGCATATTGCACGGGTTTGCCGGTTGAATGATTTTTGGTCGAGTTATGGCCCTTTGATAAAAAGGTGTTTTTTTCTATGTGTTGCCAGATAAAAGCTTGTCCGGACTTCTCCTCATAAACTACTGGTGCAATTTTATCCAAACTTTACAGGAATGATCAATACCAAGTCTAGTTGTGCACTGTCCGTTTGTCTGTCCGTCTGTCACAAAACTTGTCCCAACATAAAATTGGCCATCATGAGGCGATACATGTGATTACTGATCGCTCTTGTTTTTAAGATAAGATCAACTTTACTTGACCTGATATAGGGAACACAGCTTCCAATACATAGTTCATTCATTCCTTTATTCAAATTAGTCATATTCAGTAAGAATTTGATAGATTTCAATAAATTTCTTTGATAAAAATATTTTACTCAAAGATAAGCATAGTATATCTTTAATTTGTCCCTGTCCTAGAGTTAACACCATTTCTGTCCAAGTCACAAAGTCTTATCATATTGAAACATCACATGAAATTGAATGTATATGTTGAATTTCTTCAAAATAATGAAATTTGAATTGTTAAAAGATATAGTGTATCACATTATTAAATAGCAATGTGAAAATGCTTTGGATAACATATCATGGTCACCTGTGGATAAGACTAATATTTGATTAATGGGGCATCTGTGGCTGAGTGGTTTGAAGTCGAGCAATTACCACTTTGCTCTCACTACTGTAGGTTCCCTCAGCGGCAGTGCAAGGCAGCGCTTCATCTGATTCTACATGTAAGAAAAAGTTTCTGTTAATCAGCTAGCTTACGTAACATCGATAGTTCTATTCAGGTGCCTGTTTGTGTCTGAAATAATGTACAGATGTCACTTGAGATCTTCTTCCACTAATAAAAGCTGACCTATACTGTATTGGTATAGCGTAAAATCCAGTTAAAAAGACATCTAATTGACATGCAAATCATGCGAAAATAGACTGTTTGTTAGAAAAATCAATAATCTTCCAACAGTATAATTAGTATACAATCTCATGTACTTTCACATGCAAATCATGGTTAAATTGAGTTGTTGCCACAAATTAAAATATGCCCCTCATATCATATTTTATGTACAAATGTTTAAGTAAAAAAAATCTGTATACATGTACTTATATGCCTTGGAAGGTCCCTAAATGTTTAGAATTTCCGTAAATATCATGAAATCCTAGACCTGTTTTATTTTGTTATAGTGTTACAATTTGTAAATGTTGAAATGAATAAAATTGATCAAGTTACAATGTACATTGGTCTTTGGCTTATAACTTGCACACACACCTGTGTTGGATTATCTAGAGTATTTTACTTTGTTATGATTTTAGGTCAGAATGGGTGAAACTGCTAAATCTAGTGCAGTGTGAGATCATAAGTTGTACACAGATTGATGATATGGACTCCTATGTTCTCAGGTATATGTATATCATTAATGCAATTTTCCCTTTCTTAATTTTAAATACAATTCAATGAATCCATCCCAGATTTGATATTTAGTATTCTGTGACTTATCAATACAGAGTTTCATTGCCTACACAGATGTAGGGGCATTAAGCCAACTAATGGTTAAAAAAATATCATTGATGGTCTGACCCATGTCCACCTCATGTATCTAGAATTATTTATGGATCATGTCAGGCACCCACCCCTGGTCACTAGCATGTCCATTAAAAGAAAACTTTTACTATCCCATCACTCCAATACACTGCTTTATCACAAATCAAAATATTTGTATAAATCGTGTAATTAATCAACACAGGCTTTCCTGAAATTTTAGTTATTTCAAGTTCACAACAAAGTTACAAAATGTATAGGGCATTATTATCTAGCCTACAAATTTATGACCATTCTCGTTTCATTTCAGTGAAAGCAGTATGTTTGTAACAGAAAGGCGGTTCATCTTGAAGACATGTGGGACAACCACACTTCTTCTTGCTATAGAGCCTCTGCTGAAACTGGTTAAAGAGAAATGCGGTTTTGACAATGTTGCTGTAAGTTGGTGCTTATCTTTTACTTCTATAATATTTTTATGTATCAATTTTGGTTTTGGATGACTGTAAATATTTGAATGATTGGCTATACATGCATGTCTATTTTCTAACCATTTGTTTGTTTACTTGACACCACTTTCAACTGTACTGTTTAGTTTCTTGAAGAAGACAGGAAGGAGGTTCAATTAAGCTGTAAGCCTATTAATTAATAAAAGTGTTTAAACTAACCTTCCATTGAATAGTGAATTTTCTATTTGTAAACATGGTAATATGGCTTCTGTTAATGATTGATTTTAATGATTTGACAAAAGGTGTTTAAAAAAATTTATTTGATATTTTACAGGATATTTTTTACTCCCGTAAAAATTTCATGCAGCCGGACAAGCAACATGGAATACATCGCACCTTCGAAAATGAAGTGGAGCATCTTGATACACTTTTCAAAAGTGAGTCCTCTTTTGTGTCAAACATCTCCTGTGTCAAACATCTTTTGTGTCAAGCATCTTCTGAGACATCTTTTGTATCAAATATCTTTTATGTCAAACATCTTTTGTTTCAATTATCTTTTATGTCAAAGATCTTTTATGTCAAACATCTTTTGTGTCAAACATCTTCTGTGTCAACATCTTTTGTGTCAAATCATCTTTTATGTCAAACATTTTGTGTCAGCATCTTTTGCAAACATCTTCTGTGTGTGTGTCAAATCATCTTTTATGTCAAACATCTTATGTCTTAGAAATTTCAGGTTCCATAAGGTGAATGGTGAGAATCTCTTGTGTTTGCAAGGTTTTCATTTTTGTCTTGAGGTAACAGATGTGCTTACTAGAGCAACTGATTTTGCCAAGGTCAAAGGGGATATTTTAATCATAAGGCTCAAAATACGACAGATAAATATCATTTAAATAGCATTTTAACCATTCATATGGATTGCCAATCTGTTTATAATGAAAACCCAGGTTTGTGATGGTAATGCATTTAAGGTAAAATTACATGCAAAACAAACAAATATCTATTTATATTTTGCATATTTGTATATTAATATTGGCTGGTCGCCAAATATTTCAAAGTAAATTAATATATGTAAAAACATAGCTGCCTCTGTAATTAAAGTGTGTTTCTATTACATTGAATAGAAATAGATACTACATTATATTATTCCATTATATATAAAAAATGCAAGGTTTTCTAATAAGTTATGTGAAGTGTGAATTACATGTAATTTTTTACAGATCCATTAAAATGTAAAGATTTATATCACCAGCTTTCAAATGATGTAGATGTTATTAAATATACAAGATAAATGACATAGTAGTCAAAGTAATTGTTGATTAAATGCATGTTTTATATAATATCTGCTAACATGATGAATTTCACGTATATATACTTCTGTATGATAGGGTATTGTATGTGCTGGTGATTGGCTGATAAGTATCAGACATCAGGTTCATGATTGGTCAGAAACCAGCACAGGATGTGTTCTGACCAATGAAAATGCAGATCTAAGACAAACCTTTTATAACTTTGAGGCCTGACAATGTGGTTCTTAGGGTTTTCACTTTTATCTGAGGCAACAGATGTGCTAACGAAAATAACCAATAAGGCCAAGAGTCAAAAGCGGTTATTTTAATCTTTAGTCTGAAAATATAACTGATTATAACAGAATTTTAACCTATGTTACAGATCCCCAATATGTTAGTAATCAAAACCCAAGAGGCACTTAGTATATATTAATTACAAATGAAATTAAGAATTGTACAGAATTGAAAACTTGAAAACAATATCTGACTCAGACCCTGGTAAACATCTGCTAAAATATGTTTCCTTTGCATTTAAGTTGAAGAAGTTTTAAGATTCATATTGAGCATATATTAAGTAACAGATGTAGATAAGCAAGGTAACATGTAAAGTCATAAATGCTGTTTTTGCAAATTGTAGACAAAGTGTCCTTATTGTTCTGCATCATATAATGTAGCATTTATAGTGACCTTGTTTTTTTACCATGTTATATTTTAGAATAGCTCTATTTGCAAAATTTTTTTGTTTGTTTTATGACTGTGGTAAATATCATTATTTGATAAGTGAATTTGTTATTTTGTCACAATACAATATTTTAGTATTTAAAAGGAAATTTATTGTCTAAGAACGTTTATTATAGAAATTTTAAATGCATTAAATTTTGTGAACTTCTTTTGTGTTTGGTGTTAAATTTTAATACTAAAAGTGACTTTGGTGTTATGTTTTGCATGGTATATACTATTATTTATAAGTGACAACAAATGTTGTACTTGTTCTGTATTCAGATGGAGCAGCTTATACCTTGGGTCGTATTAACAGAGACTGCTGGTATTTGTACACGATGGACGAGGTGGGAGTTTCCCAGCCAGATCAGACTGTAGAAATATCCTTTTTATGATTGTTCTTTTAATCATATGACTTAACAGATATTTACTGAAATTTTGATAATCAAGGTTGTTGTGCATTTGATTAATTCATCTTAGCAAGGTTATTGTATTCTAGGTAAAAATTGAAGGGATATTACTAGTAATAAAAAACATGGCAGGGTGCAGGGTAGGGTCAATTGTAGGTTAGATGTCAGGGATGCCAGGCTTCAAATAATTTGTTCCCACGCCACTGTTGCTGCAAATTCTTGTTAAAAAACTAAACAAAAAAAAACATTGACCTCTTAGGGATACAATTTTGCTTCAGCCATACAACTTGATAATTTAATTCTCCTCACCATAAAACTACCAATCTACGATTCTTATTGTAATGTTGTTTATTCCATTAACATGTTAAAACATGTTTTAGGAAATTTAACCCTTCATTAGCAGAATTCCTTAAATGGACTTCTCCAGTCTCTAATTTTCAATCTGCATTATTTCATAACCGCCTCCGTGGTCGAGGGGTTAGAGTCGATGACTTCTAATCCAGTTACCTCTCTGGCGTGGGTTCGATCCGCGGAAGATGCTTTGGTAGTTTAGCGCGGAGGAAGGTAGTCTAGTACTGATGTAACTCTCCAGGAACGATGATTAGGAAACTACCCGCCTATATGACTGAAATACTGTTGGAAAAAGGCGTAAAATGAAACAAACAAACAAACAGCATTATTTCATAGATAACGAACGGATAGAAAGTTTTTTATTTTAAAGGCAGAAATTTTTAAAGGTAAGTTAAAAAAAAGGCAAATCATGGTGTTTTACGTCGTATCTAAAAAAATAGTTTAAAATAGTCACTTTTCCTAGCCAGAGTTCAGCCCTTGATAAGAGAGCCACCTGTATAAGAAAGACACTTTTATAAATTCCCAATACTGTCTCTCTTATACAGGTTTGACTGTATTTCCTATTTTTTTGTTGTTTGATAAAGTATTTCAATGGCAAGTTTGGTTAAAGGCCCATTACACCTCAAAAATGCTATAATTTTTATTTCTAAAAAACAAACTGTTTAGTATCTTGTTACATTGTTATAAAATGACTCATTTGCCACATTGATAAACTGCCCTTTGCTTCTTTGGCTCTTGTCAGCAAATAGATAATATTAGTTAATTAATAGACTGTTTGGAAGTCAAAATACTACTTTATGTACATTTAACTTTTATGACACATTACTGTTCAGTGCTGCATTTTTCAGTTGTTTAACATGAAACATGCTCTCAATCCATAATTAAAACATAAATGAACACATGTTTGACATTTTCTAAAGAATTTAAAAAAAAATGGATTGTACCTTTAATAAAAAATTAGCCAGGTAATCACAAAAATAAGCACCAACAGATTCGCTAAGTCATTTCACTGAGCAGTCGATCATGTTGGCCAAGGTTGTTTATAACTGATATATAGATTTTTACACTGGAATGCTTGTTACAGAACATTATCCAATTAACCGATTTATCCTTGTGGCCATACCTGATTATTAATTCATTAGGCAAATCACTGTCATGGAAAATCGTTCCAAATAGAGCAGCTTTTAACCACAGGGTAGTACAATAGTACAAAACGAATGCCATATTGATTGGTGTAACTTTCCCCTTCTATATGGCATTATGTTGATTTTTGTGTTTTATGGATATTTTTGTGCATGGGGCAAAATTAGAGGTCCAAAGCATGTTCAATATTTTTAATGGTTGAAATACTAAAAGAACAATACTGAAGAAAAGTTTTGATCACTTTTAGTACCTTTTGTGCTGATATCAATAAGATGTAAGGGGGACCATAACACACTCCATGTCCACTGTATAAAAATGAAGGTGTAGGGTTTTGTCCACTGTATAAGATTGTATAAAATTAAAGGTGTGGGAGTTTTGTCCACAGTGACTGTATAAAATTAAAGGTGTGGGAGTTTTGTCCACAGTGACTGTATAAAATTAAAGGTGTGGGAGTTTTGTCCACAGTGACTGTATAAAATTAAAGGTGTGGGGGTTTTGTCCACTGTATAAGATTAAAGGGTGAGGATTTTGTCCACTCTATAAAATCAAAGGTGTGGGTTTTTTTGTCCTCTATGAAATTAAAGGTGTTTTTTTTTTCCCACTCTATAAAATTAAAGATGTGGGGTTTTTGTTCACTCTATAAAATTCATGTTTGGTGTTTTGTCCACTCTATACATTTAAAGGTGTGGGGTTTTTGTCCACTCTATAAAAAGCATGTGTGGTGTTTTGTCCACTGTATATAATTCATTTGTGGTGTTTTGTTCACTCTCAAAAAATTTGAGGTGTAGGGTTTTTGTCCTACATTCATAAGATATAGCCTGTAAAAACCATGAGCACCACAATATATGTGAAACATGAATTCAGCTGTAGGGTCTATGAATTAAAAGAGATAGGAAGGGAAGAAATTTATGTGCATCTCGCTTGATGGTTACAGGTACATAAAGCTGCAAAGCATATCATTGATATATTGATATAGGATGACAAAATTAATATCAAGAATACACTGATAATCAATTATAATTACTTAATATCTGTAATTAACTTTCATACTTGAATGAATGATATCAGTAAAAAATCATGTTCTGTTCATACATTTATGATGTGTCTTGTTTATAAATCATGCCAAATTCATGATTTTTTTTGGACCATTTCAAGTTGTTACTGATTTGAAATATGTCCATTTCATATTGACATAGTTCTAGACATGGATACCTGCTTCTGTATATGTTTTGGGGAATTTTCAAATTTTATAGACATTAAATTAATAAGAGAAAGTCAAAACTATTGATTTATTTTTCAAATGTGTGTCAATTATTGATTGACAGAAAAACATCAGTATCATTTCAATAAATAAAAGTTCTACAGGTAGTAATAAGAAAATATTTGCTGACTGTATTTTGCCTTAACTTCAATGTACTTGCTAATGTGGGACCTTTGCCCAGAAAAGATGGCTGTCTTTACAAAAGAAACCTGTTCTGATGGTAAAGAAGCAAGGGAGGTAAGTAGAAGATTTTACATGGTTGATTAATACTATGTTGTAAGAGTTAGTACCCCTATCAAAACTTTAGGATCTGTAAATGTAAGTAAGACTAGTTTAAAACCTGAACAAGCCAGCTTGAACATCTTTGAAGTCTGATTAAAACTACTGTGAACATGTAAATTTTAGCGTTTTGAAATTATAATCCCTTTCATAGACAATGGACAGTTCTAAATTTAAATCGGGACAAGTTCATTATACAAATTTAGGGTTATGAATTACATTGGTGTAATTGTTTGTATAAGGAAGACTTTAGTAAGTGTTTTATGTTTCAGAAATCAGGCATTGATAAGATTATACCTGGGGCAAAGATAGATGACTTTTTGTTTGAACCATGTGGCTATTCAATGAATGGTCTGCTACCAGATGTATGTATACTGTTATTATACACCCACATTTTATTATACACCCACATTCAATGAGCATTTTATTTATGTCCTGACCATATTCTTGGGTATTGTGGCTCATTGTTGATTAACTAGGGTTTCATACTTTTAGACTTTAAGCTGCATGCCTCTAGATGAGCCAAAATCAAATTTGAGAAAAATGTTCTAAGATTTTAGTGAAAGTACTATGATTCAAGATTCAAGTAATATTTTACATATAATGTGAAAAAAATAACTGATTTTTCAGTATATTTCTGCTGCATTACTAACACGGTAAAGGCTGGTCAGAGAATAAGAAGAGCTATTTTCCAAGTTTTTGCCTGCAAGTTGGTATCTCCAAAACTACTGAAAGGAATGAATTAATACTTCTCACTCTTGTACTCTTTGATTATCTAACATGAAAGGTACAAGTCCCATAACTCTTTAGTTACCTAGTAACAGAGTTATGCCCCTTTTCTAAATGTTGAGCCCTGAAAAAAGATGGACAGCTCTTTGTTTGCTACTATTTGAAAGACACAATTTATGTATTTTATACAGATGGTTTTGTAATGTGCATTAAGAACAAACATTAAACAAATAAATAATTTTGACTTGTTCAGATATTATCCAATTTATTGTTTGATAAAAAGAAATTGCTGCCTCGGAAGAACTTATGTATGTAAAATATGCTTCTTTCTATGTATTCTATGTGTGTCCTATATTTCAGGGTCAGTATATAACCATTCATGTGACACCAGAACCAAACTGCTCCTATGTCAGCTTCGAGAGTAATGTGCCACAGGTTTGTAAAGTATGATGAATTCTACTTTATAGCCTTAGTCAATATTTATGTTTATTCACTACATATTGCATTATATGCACCAGCTTAAAGCTCCTTATTTGTGTCATCTTATATAAGACATTGTTTTTTTGTTTGTGTTTTTGCTGCTGCATTGGTGTTTTAAATTCAATAGACACCTTACAATTCAAATATTTGGTATAATATTGAAATTGAGGTGTTATTGAAATTATGTAAAATTTCAACATATTTGTTCATTGATTTTTATGAATCAGTGATTTTTCTCCCTTAAGCAACCTTGGCATCTTGATTTTGGAAGAATTCTGAAAAAAGCTGGTGTAAGTTTTGATTTTTTAGGAAAACTGCATGATTTTAAATAAAATGTCCGTTTTTTGAAGAGGCCTTTTATATGCCAAGGCCATTTATAGGCCTCTGTTAAAAAAGGTGAAAAATCACCATCAGAATGAAATTTCCAGTTTAAAATTATATAAAGGTAAAAGAAAGTTTTACTGTAAAAAGAACATTGAATGAGTAAAAGATTTTAAGGGTTTGATTTTGTTTCAGGAGTCATACACTGGACTCATAAATAGAGTGTTGAACACATTCAAGCCTGGAAAAGTGCTGATGACCATCTTTGCTAACAAGGTAAGAGACTGTTTCAAAATTGATTAGTAGTGACCTAGTAATGGACCCTTCACCTTATGTGCTAATTCCCTGGATAGGTCATTTGGAAAAAAAATAGAGGAAAGATGTAACTACATTTCATAAGGTTCTTTTTTGTTACTTAAAGTGACATTATGCCCGTCCAAGGGTACAAAGTGAGTGAACAGGTGAAAGTTAAAATAAGTTTACAAATTTTTCATAATTGACATAAATTCTATAATTTACTTTGCATGAACAATAAACAACTCAATCTGGGTAAGGAGATTTATGTTAATATCAAGTAATTTATGTAATAGAGAACGTGTAATTTATAAAAAGAGTGGGGACAGTCTTTTAACATTTTAGGAAGATTGGATATGAAATGTACTTACAACAGAACTTGTAATAAAATCCCCAGTGACAGTGTGAAATCCTATAGATCCATATATTGCTAACTTTTACTAGAAAAAGATTCACATACCTTATTGACCAATGAACTCTGTTTAAATTTGACACTAATTTAAATTGGCAGAAATAATCATTTTATTTTAAACCTACCTTTATGTATAGCAGCAAACTCATTCACTCCTTATATTTCCTTGTAAGCAGACATCTTTGAAATCTGTCACTTTATATTTTATATTGAATACTTCTTACTGTTAACATTAATTTCAGTCAATCATAATTCAGGACCTTGATTTATGTAAAGTTTGTTTGTTTAAGGTCAGAAATCCCTTGAGTTATTTGACATGTTTCTGTGTATTAGCGATTTTCGTTTGCAGATTTTATATGGGATTTCAGCATGGCTGCCATTGAAATCCTGGATTTCAGATTCTGATATCCAGCTGTCTTTCCATTGCTGGATTTATAGGATTTCTGGTGTTTCAAACATTGAACCTTATAAAAGTAAAAATGCAACAAATGCTGTCACTAGTCTTGATCTTTTAGTATGATATTAAGTCGGAAACTGCAATAAATTAATATTATACAAATAACTTATAAACATCATTGTTACCCAATATCATCTAGCAAGTTGGTATGTATTAAAGTCCAAAATTATTAACATACTTGGCACGGTTGTTGCTGGAAACACTTGTTTTAAACTTAGAAAACTGTAAAAGAATTGTATATATTTCTCCCATCCTGACATATGTTTACAATATATATATCTGGTACTATCTACCTTTCAGGAGTCTACAGCAAAAGACTGCCACAAAGACCTTGACACGTTCCTTGATCAGACCCAGTACAATCGTGTTGACCATCAGTTCTGTACCTTCAAGAACTACAACCTTACCTACACCTACTTCACCAGCCGCCCTGTTATCTAGGGGTGTCTCAGCAGAGGTGCTCCTGTCAGTTGCCATAGCAACAGGTCAAAGGTTAAGGTTATTTCTCAAGAAATTATACATTCTTCCAAGTTCCATCCGTTATCGGACACTAGGTATATTAAAGATTTCTCTTCAAAGAACTTACGTGTAAATGACCCGAATTGTTTCTCAAGGTCATGCGATAATTTAACCATCACCTTTGACCCTTGTATAGAGTGCATTGACAGACCCTCTGTTAGATACTTTAGCAAATATTTTTTCCCTTATATTTCACTTCTTACATTAGCTTGGGCATTGAGTTGTGTCTTTTTCTCATCTATTGCAGTGGTATTTATTTGGAAATCCTTTAAAAGCCTTAGAAAATATAGATTCTCTTTCTCTTCAATGACAAGGAAAGTCAGATAATTTGACTGCACATTCTCCATAAACATATTCATAATAAATTTTGTTATACACAACTTATTACTTAAGTTATAATTTTTCACATATATATACTGGTAACTGGTATTTTATATTTTAGGATAATAAATTAAATTTTTTGATATACTTATGATTTTATACAAGGAAGGTGGTACAGAGCCATACTCAATCTGCATAATACATCTATTGGAGCCTTAACTGTTATTCAAGACAAGATTTTTCAAAATGAAATTTTTATTAGATTTCTGCCATTCAGTGCTGTTTCTTTTGAAATGTTTCTCAAAAGCTATCGAAAATATACTGAGTATATATGAAATAATTAAACAGTTAGTTCTGAATGTATGACACTTTTTAAATACCAATCAGTCTTGCAAACTCTTCAAATGGTCAGGCCTCTTTGAATAAGCATTATATGAAACTTTCAAATAATAAAGTACACTTCAGTACGAAATATGAAAAAAAAAATATTTGGCTAAATTGCTGCTACAACTGGTTGTTAAATAGTATTTTGTCCGAATGTACATTTGATAATGACTTAAGTAAATCATAATGTTTCTTTAGTTTATACAGAATTTGATTTAGTTTGGTTCTGTACAAAACTAACTACACACTCTCGAATATGTTCCTAGAACCAACAAGTACTGAGCAATGACTGTAAACTATCTTGCCCAAGGAAACAACAGCTTGCCCCTGACAGGGTTTGAACTTGCACAACAAGTGATCCTTAAATTGTTAGTGTTTATGGTGTTATCCTACTGCCACCAGGGTTTCTCTGAAGATAGGTGACACTGGTCGGCTACAATGCCCTGTCGGTATTTAATCTTACTGTATATTTATTGGGTATGTAAATTTGATTAATGATAAATTCTTTTGAATTATCGTTTATTTTTAGCTCACCTGTCACAAAGTGACAGGGTGAGCTTTTATGATCGCTTTTCGTCCGTCGGTCGGCCATCCGTAAACTTTTACTTTAAATGACGTCAACTCATAAACCGCTAAGCCAATTTCATCCAAACTTCACAGGAATGTTCCTTTGGTGGCCACCTTTAAAAATTGTTCAAAGAATTTAATTCCATGCAGAACTCTGGTTGCCATGGCAACCGAAAGAAAAAACTTTAAATATCCTCTTTTAAAAAACCCAAAGAGCTAGAGCTTAGATATTTGGCATGAAACATCTTCAAGTGAGTGTCTACCAAGTTTGTTCAAATAAAAGCCCTGGGGTCAAAATTGGCCCCGCCCCAGGGGGTCATTGATTTTCCCAAAAACTTAAAAAATCTTCTTTTAAAGAACACAAAGAGCTAGAGCTAAGATATTTAGCATGAAACATGTTCTAATGGGTGTCTACCAAGTTTGTTCAAATAAAAGCCCTTGGGTCAATATTGGCCCCGCCACGGGGTCATTGATTTTCCTTATATGTGTATAGCAAAAATTTAAAAATCTTCTTTGAAAAAACCCAAATAGTTAGAGTTTAAATATTAAGCATGAAACATCTCCTAGTGAGTGTCTCTAAAGTTTGTTCAAATAAAAGCCCTGGGGTCAAAATTGGCCCCGCCCCGGGGGTCATTGATTTTCCTTATATGTGTATAGCAAAAACTGAAAAATCTTCTTTGATAAAACCCAAATAGCTACAGTTTAGATATTAAGCACGAAACATCTTCTAGTAAGTGTCTACAAAGTTTGTTCAAATAAAAGCCCTAGGGTCAAAACTGGCCCCGCCCCAGGGGTATCATTGTTTTTAACAATATGTGTATAGGGTCATTGTTTATCATTATATGTGTGTAGTAAAAACTTAACATCATGAAACATCTTCTAATGGGTGTCTTCTAAGTTTGTTTAAATAAAAGCCCTGGGGTTTAAACTGGCCTCACTCCGGGGGCCTATATACAGGTGAGCGACCTCAGGGCCATCATGGCCCTCTTGTTTCATTGAATAGTTTGTTTTTAGAAGATATGGATTGCATTGCATCTTGTTAAAACAAATATGCATGTAATCCCCACATTTATCATGTTGGATATTTATGAAGGGCATAAACAATTAACAATTGTTATTTTGAAACTGAATATATTTTATTTGTGTAATATCCAGAAGTTAATATATTGTTTCTTACAGTATTTTCCCATCTTATTGTTACTGTATGTTCAAATATGTTTTCTATAATAAAATAATATTTGTGCAATGTGCAATTTTGTTAAAAATTTGGAACACCACTGCTTTTTTACCAAACTTAGATACAACTGAAAAATAAAAAATATAATGTCTATACCTACATATTGTGATGACTTGAGTAAAAGGGCTTCAAGAAAGGTAGGGGAAATGAAAGAATATTTACCCTAGTGGTTATAATAATTCTTACTGTATTTTTATCCTGTTCTAGAATTGAAATGGGGATAATTTTTTTTGAATGTGCAATCTTTTTCTTTTAAATGTGTTTGTTTCCTTGGTATTTTAGGAGGCCTTGTTCATGTTCAGTATTGAACAAGTATAACGCCACTTGATCATGTTAAATTTTTTATAAAGGGCATTGACAAGTGATCTTTTGTTTTGAAAAAAATATATGATTTTGAAAGAGATCAGTGTCAGGTTTTACATTGTAATTTTACGATGTAGTAAAGGGTAATAGAGAAAAGGAACTTTATGTTTTACCCAAGTGTATTATTTTTTGTACCCAAGGGAATTGTGTAGCTATACTGCCAAAATCTTTTATGTGGATCAAAACTAATGTAAGGCATCATTTTACACTGTAATCTTTTATCAAATTAACCACTCAGTCCATTAGTAAAACTAAGAAAATATTGATATAAAAGGGCGATTTGGATTCTTTTGGGATTTGATATGTTCAGTTACAGCTTAACATTAAGGCAAACTGTTAACATCACTTTGTTGTAACCTTTAGTTTTTTTTTCTTGTATCTAATGTAAAGTGTTTTGTTAATTCACTGTGAATCATTCCCAATAAACTTACATTTGCATAATTTATAAGAAGTCTAGCATACATTTGTGAACAAACTGTTTTTGTCTACAAACAAATACATAAAAGTGTCTGGCTTTCTTTGCCATTTCATGAGTTTAGTACATTATTGTTGTTCTAAATCCATTTAGAAAAAAAATAATTCTTAAGCTTAAAATTGTTTGATTACTTTGTTTTTAGAAGACTTTATTATGTATTGTCATGTCCGGTCTATCATTGAACAGAAATAACCTTTTATTGGTCGGCAATATGTCTGTTAAATAAACAGCAATATTTAAATCCTTTTACCTGCTGAATTGCGTTGTGGCATTGCCCAGCTTCGAACTTGGAACAATCTGGAGTTTAAAATCATTTCAGCTCCTAAATACAATAATTGGAACTGCCAGCTGTATAGAGCCTGCTTAGACAGCAAAGATTTTTAAATAAATATTAAACTATGAATAAATTCTAAATTTAAAGCAACTATTTAACTATAATTCTTGGTGTAAAGTCTTAAAGTAGACTGGCTTATTCTTCAGCAATAAGAAAAATGTCTGTGACAGTACATGTTGTTGTTGTTGTTGTTAAGATCTAGAATAAGCAATTATTCTGATGTTGTGGATTAGTGCTGATTGTCTGATTTTGAATAATCTCATTGAAAATAATCTCAACATTATATTGTTCAAGATTGGTTCCTTTTATTACATGTTACGATACTAATCTGCTGATAATTCAATATCATAGAACCTGTGTCATCATGTAGTTGTCAACTTTAGTTTTATACTTGTATCTTGAATATATTCTTTGTTAATGCAAAAATGTGCGTTACTTGAATACCATCTATGTAAATTCAAATTATGCAGTACATTTAATAATGTCTTTGTTAATGCAAAATTTTGTATTACTTTAAAATTTAAAAGTGGTTCCAAGTAAACAAGAAAAGTTTAGGATAGTTCAATATTTTTCAGGGTTTTTTACCCCTGGCATATTTTTTTGTGCGTTTTAGCACACTCCTGTTGTTAGATTTAAAAATAATCCTCAAAATACTTTTTTCATGGAACCTTTATGGCTCTGACCAGTTCATAAACTCATTAAGGCATTTCTTTATCGGGGTATCAATAAAAATATTCAGTAATATACATTTATAATATATACTGTTTGTTTGTTTTTTTTTTGTACAAAAGCCTAACATCATAGAAAGAGCTAAAATTTGCATTTACTGCTTTATATATATTAAAACAGATGATATTATGTTATATTTAGATTTTTATTCATTCCTATGGAATGTGTACCTGTTTTAATTTAACTATGTTGAAAATGACCATTAATTTTATATTGAAAATAAATTTGTGTCGTTAAAATCCACTTCTGCAGTTTCAGAGGATAACTTCATATTTCAAGGATATTTATTTGTTAAATCAGAAATTAAATATTAATCACTGATGACTTGATATAAAATTGTTCTTATTATTATCATTATGACGATTTATACAGAGCAAAATTGAATTAAAGTGACATTATGCCCATCTATGATCTAAGTGTAAATGGCATGTGGCATGTAATTGTGTTCAGTTTAATATTTTACTATGCAAACAATATCAATAAATCACATGACTTATGGACAATGATATAGATATTGTTAGAAATTTTATTGGAAATTTTCAATTTTTGAAAAGAGTGAGGCAGTCTTTTTATAATTTGGTTAGCTTTGATATTTTGCCATCCATTTTTTGGTTAGACACTTATAATAGTCACTCATTTAAAATATACTTAACTTGACAACAAAAAATGAGCATAATGTCACTTTAAATACACAGCTGTCAAACCTTTATTGGACAAGGTGGCGGAGCTTTTGCAGCTTTATACAACATGTACAAGTAAAAAAAATGATATCAGTACATGTATTGAATTCAACAATAAATATAACTTCTTTATACTACACCACCAATATTTTGACATTTTCAGAGAGCTTTAATTCAATATGGATATATTTGGACTCTGGATGTGGGTGATCAAATTAAGCCTAGACTGATTCCATTTGTGATGTCATATCAATGACATTATATTTTTGGACTTAGAGAATGAAAACTGGGTTAAACTGGAAAGATTGTTGGATCCAATTTAATATGATTTATATTTGGATATCACATGGTGTAAAAGCTGAAAGTTCATTGGTCACATTTGATATTGAAGGTGTGGAATAAATATTAATACTACAGATGTGTTCAGTTAAATTAGCTCTTGATATTTTTTATTAGTAAATTAAGTTTTGTTTGATAACATAAATTATAACAGTTATATTCATGATACAAAATAGTTCTCAAAATATCTAGGTCTATAGTTAGTGCTTATTTTACAAATATACATTTTGTTTTTATTTTGTCAGTAAAATGCTCACAATAAACAAGATAAGGGAATTCTATTGTTTGTTATTATTTATAATATTGACTTCATGTGTAAAAAGTTTCTGATGTTAAATAAAGATTATATAAAAAAGTTAACAGTTTTGCCACCAAAATCTTTGGCAGTATATTTGATCTTTATTTTATTGAAATATTCAATTATATGGTAACAGTAAGCTTAAGTTTTCTTCAGATATTTTTAATTAGAAACAAAAAAGGTTTTTAGTTTTAATTATTCAAAGAAGAGTAAGCCTGTCCGAATCACCTTGGCATATGCGTTGGCTTTGATTAATGGTTTGCTTGCAGCATCATATCTCAACCACTAAGGATTCAAACTCTTTTTTTAGACCAAAATGTCAGGTCATTTTTAAATTCTCATAACTCTAACATGGATTTTGACAGAATTATGAATGTTTGGTCAATGAAATCTGAGTAAATTCTTACTTAATCAAGGCTTTTATTTTACTATCAAGCATTAAGAAAAGTCGAGCATGCTTCCCTATTGACAGCTTTTGGTATTTTCCTCCAGCCCCTCCCCTCCCCTACACTATCTATTTAGGTTTAGCTCACCATGAGCACTTTAACATAATGATATCTTAAAAAGGGGACTTTTGTACATGCGCTTTTTGGGGAGGCTATGCCGACCCAATGTTAATAACCGTCCGTCAAATCTTACTGCCGCGGTAATCAGGTCAAAAAATAGTACCTTGATTTTTTCTAAGCTGACTCATCACAGACATTTACAATATGAAAATATTTTCATTCTTAAATTTCATATCTGCAATTTGTAAAGATAATAATTCTCGATTTTTGTTTGTTATTTTTTCAAAATCACTACTCCGTGACGTCATACTGCCGCGGTAATCAGGTTTAGGCATACGTACGTTGGTAATAAATAGTTCTGGTATGAAAACCCTTCTATATAATAACTTTATCAATATTTTTTAAACAAAAAGCATAAATGAAAATTCATAGATAAATGCTTTAATTAGGTGGCAAATATTCTTTATTATTTTTGATAACAATTTTCCAATTACTACGCAGCGACCAACTGTTTATGACGGGTCATTAACTAGAACGTTGCAACACCGTAGTCTCAATATCATGCATGTTCTTTTGTTGTTATAAACCATTAATAGTCCATAATATTTTTTTAAAGACAAAAAGACAAATAATGGTAAACTGTCGCTTACATCAGAGACATGGATCATGCTTGCGTGATAACTAAGGAAAACTAACTTATTAGTACACCTTAGGAGGCTGTACGCGGAAAACGCTCATTAACCGCTATATCATATAGCTGTTAGTAAATATTTTGCATACATTTAGAACTAAAAATTCACTAATGGTGATGAACATATAGTTTGAAAACATTATATTCTTAAACCATGTATCGCCGAAAAAAAAACTATTTAACTACAAAATCCGTAAGGACCCTCCCACAAAATTTCACCACAAGATTACATTTAATATTAGCAAAATAAAAAAAGCAATACTTACATTTTCATCTTACATAATAAATTATTCATTAATCAAACTTTTAACATAAAAGTATCTTTTAAAAATATGTTTGGCAATTGACAGATCCCTACTCTGATCTTTTATTTGTAAAGGAATAAATTTAAACATGTACTCTTTTGTTTAAATATTTTGTAGTGAAAGTCTTAATATATCCACTAATCTCATTATTAGAATTAGACAGGTCAGGGATTTATACAACCAGTAGTTTAGTTATCTACGCTCATTTTAATCCCAATAGAAACATTCAAATATTTGGGGTAAAAAACATGACCAAAGTACCTAGTAGTCGTTTACCCGGTGGTGATCCCATTAAACTGATTATAGATTCGAATAGAAAACACAAATAGAAACATGTGTTTCGGTACAACAAAAATCGGAAGTAAAGTGAACAGTTAAATGACAGAAATATGTGGCCAAATATGTTTTAACAAGGAAATAATTATTTCAGAGAAAGACGCAAAGATCAGTCTTCAATCAAATGAATGACCCCGTATTGTGTAATTAGAAAGTTTATTCAATTTTAGGGCAACGAATCATAATTTGATAGTCCATGTGTAATAAAATTTTCAATACAGATTATGAGATACATAAAATTATTAAAGAATAAGAAGCTTTAAAATAACAAAACAAAAAAAAACGCATATATATACGAATGACTTACAGTCGAGCATCGGAAATTCATCAACATATCTCACGAAATTTTAAATTGAAAACGATATTTGTGCGCGCTGAAGTGATTTATGTTTATTTGAATAAATCAAATAAAAGAAGTTATATGTTTGTGTTCTAAAAATAATTGGCGGCATAAGACGAATTTCGTTTTCATTTTACAACACTTGAAAAATTACCACAGAAAATATGTTGTTGTTTTTTTGTTTTGTTTTCAACAAGAGTGTGTGTTTTAAGTTCATTTATTCTCGGCACCGGAATAACCATATGTCCGAGATTATAGCATCGGGGACGTCTTTTTCAAGCAGAATCTTCCTGGTAGCCCATTCTTCGTTCGTTAGTGGTAAAGGAGACGACAGTACTGTCAAGGCATCAACTTCCTGACTGACGACAACAAAAACGGCATTCATTAGCGCCAAACCTCCAGAGTAAGTTACGACAGGTCAACCAATCACCTCTGGTACTTGAGATGACTTGACCTTGACCTGCCGTGTGCCTTCTCCGCGACGTGCATACCTCTGGAGGGATTTGGAGAAGTTTCAACAAAAACCTCCAAAACACGCTTTTTATAACACCATTCATAGCACTGACGCTTCGATGTTCTCATCTATTTGCGGGAAATGGTCGACAAGGAAAACCTACGTTATAACCGCACATCCTGTTAACAACATATTTACCGCAGTATATATTTCAAGCTAGTGAGGTTTGAAATCTATCGATTAACTACCATAAGTTGATAAAAAAATAAGATATAACTTCCTGATCAATTTTCACTTAGGTTGATTCAATTTTGAATAAGCTGTGCAGATATGTATTTTTCAAGAAATATTTAGCTTTAATATTATCCGAAGCCGTCAAAGTCAGCGACGAGTAATGAAATGAGAATAATTTCCTGAAACGTGATTTTATTCGAGATTTGCTTCGGGAGAAGACAACTTTCTGTCCGTAGAGCATGAATATTAACACTCACCACAAGACAGTGTCTTATTGATCTCAATTATGGTACATGTAAATATGTATAATTTTATGTTCAATTAAAATGTTGCTTAACTTGCAGTTGTTATTATCATTCAATGATATTAAAATGACATAAAGTATTTATGATGAACAGTCCTAGAATATTTTGATAAGGAACCGTCAGTTGTAAAATGGTATTATGATCTTATAATGAACAGTCGTCATACCTGCTGGTGTGTCATTTATAAATGGTTTTTAGGTTTTTCAAAATATGCATGATTAACAATCGGAATGTAGACCTCAATGAAATGTTCTGGAATATTAACAAAATGAATAGTCAACCATATTAACCATATATATGAATGGCTGAGCGATAAATGGCGCAATGTGCATATCTTCTTATTTAACAGCACATTTTAAGCAAAAAGAAAAGAAACTATAAGCCTGAAACATTCTGCCATAGCCTCCCCATCGGTACATTCAGTGCTTTGATTTAGGTTAGTCTCAAAGGGTGTAGTAGCTTATGATTATTACGGATCGGGTTATTGTTTCGGGTCTGGATATACGGGGGAATTCTGTACAAAATGAAAGTCAATGTATGTTTGTCTGTCTATCAGTTTGTACGGCTTTCCCGATATTCTTTATTTCGAATTACCAACTACCTTCTAGTAGGTAGTTGGGTATACGCGACGTAGGAAGACGCGGTGATACCCTTTGGTAATTGCGAATTACCAACTGACTCCCTTGGTTGACGTAGGGACCCGCGGTGATGCCATTTGGTAGAAAAATTCATCTTGTCATATATTGGCTACTATTATTCGAAAAAATTAGTTTCTGTTTTCAGAGGAATACATGTAATGTTTCAATAAACAACTACTCTTTGGTTGGTAGAATGGGATTCACGCGAATAACCAACTGAGTCCCTTGATTAATGGTAAAGGGGGTATTTCCATATTATAAAAACACTTATCTGGTTATACATGTATAACCCATAAAAGTACTTATATATTGATTTCAGTGGAATATATGCAATCACCGAATTATCAACTACTTTCTAGTAGGTAGTTAGGATTTCGCACGAATAACCAACTGAGTCCCCTGGTGGACATAGGGAGACAAGGTGATTCTATGTTGAAGAACACATCTATTCGTTATATATTTATTGCTGAAAAGTACTTTCTGTTTTGAGGGTAAAACTTACCAACTACTGGTAGGTTAGATGGGGATTCGCGCAAAAAGCAACTACGTGCGCGTTTAAAAATTTATTATATGTTCCAACATTTCATCCCAGTGAACACCCCGGACGAGTGCGAACATGTACTTTGAACAGGAGTATTTTATATTACATGTATATAAAAAACTAATTATACCCAAAGGGAAAAAAGAAGAATAGAAAACAATAACAACAAAAAACACAAAAAAAAACAAGAAAAAAAAACAACTTCAACCCAAATGTACTTATCAAGGTAATATCTACAACATTTTATATTCCATTTTCAAATAAAAAAAACCAGAACCCCATCCCCCCCCCCAAAAAAAAATAAACAAACAAACAAAACAAAACAAAAAACTCCAAATTCGACCCTGTTCTTTAACCTGAAACGAGAAGGTAGAAATAATATGCAGCATAAAACAAATACGACCTATGATACTAAATGCATGGAATGAGACAATGATTGAAGATTCGTATTACAAACTAATGGCATTATCATGTTACGGTTACTGATGTCAGCACTTTTCGATATTCATAATTTGCATTTGTTTGAATATACTTGACATTATTAATGAATATTTCACCTTGTATCAATATAGTTTTACAAACAATACCCATTACGCCCTCGTAGAACTCTGCAAATATTGACTAAAGC